TTCTCCGGAGTGGTCGTTCTCGGCAGTTTCGGAGGGGTTGTGCCAGGGTTCCGGGTTCCGCTGGTCGAGGTGGGCCATTGGTGCCAATTTCTGAGCCGTTGTTCCCTTCGGGGCCAGCGTCGTCTGGTCGGCGCAGTAATCGCCCTGTTCGATGGTTGGGTTCTCGTAAGGGGCGTCGGCCCTTTCGCGGTTTGCCCCATTGACAGGGTGATGGGGGGGGGGGAGGCTCGCTATGTTTGCCCACGCTTGGTCCCACGATTTGTGGGCCTTTTCGGTCGTGTCATCCGGCCAGCAGTGGCGTTGGGCGACTCGTCCTCCTTTGGGGGGTTCGAGGCTAACAGGGCAGGTTTCTTCTCCTGCACTTCGTCAAGTTGTCTTGGAATGGGTGCGCTTGGGTGTGGTTGAAATGACTACGTCCCTCAGGTGGGTTTCCCGTATGTTTCCAGTGCCGAGACAGGACTGTGCAGATCTGAGGTTCATTCTAGACTTGTCCCGTCTGAACCCCTGGATTCCTTGCCCCTCCTTGCGGATGACTACTCTGTCTCAGGTCCGGCTTCTGTTGGAGCTGGGTGCCTGGACCATGTCCGTGGACCTCAAGGACACGCATTGGCACGTTCCTATTCCTCCGGGGTTCAGGGACTAGTTAGGTTTTGTGGTGGGGCATCACGCTTACCGTTTTCGATGCCTACCTATTGGCTTGAATCTGGCACCTCGCGTTTTCACGCGTCTGACCGGGGTTGTGGTGACCCATTTGCGTCTTGTAGGGATTCGGGTTTCGGCCTACCTCAACGACTGGCTGGTGTGGGCTCCCAGTCGGTCAGCTTGTCTGCTCGCCAGCGATATGGTTCTTTCCTAGTTCGCCAGGTTCGGGTTCCTGGTGAACTGGAGGAAGTCCCATCTGGTTCCGTCCCAGGTTCGGACCTGGCTGGGTCTTGTTTGAGATTCTTGGACCGCTTCCTTGTCTCTCCCTCCAGAGGCGTTGCGGCGGCTGCGGGACCGCCGTCAGCTGTTTCTGAGGGGGTCCCAGGTCACTCGGCGGTTGCTTGAGCAGTTGTGCGGGAGTCTGAACTTCGCCGTGCTAGTCTACCCACCGGGTCGGGTTTGGCTTCGGCGTCTGTTTTGGTTCCTTCGGGGACGTCCTTTCCGCCTCTCTCGCGATCGTTGCGTTCGTCCTCCACGGGTCTTATGTCGGTTGCTGTGTCACCGGCTTCCTCTTCGGGGTTTTCGGGGTTCGGTGCCTTGGCGCCTTCCCGAGGCCTCACTCGATGTGTTCACGGATGCGTCGTCTCTCGGCTGGGGCTTTGTGACCAGTGCTCACCAGGCAGGCCAGGGAAGGTGGGGTCCGTCTTTCCTTCAGGCTCACAGCACGGTTCGGGAGTTCGCGGCTGTCTGGTTTGCGCTTCATAGGATTCGGGTCACTCGGGGATCGACCATTCGCCTCCATTCGGACTGTTCTCCAGTGGTTCATTGCCTGAACCGCGGGGGTTCTCTTTGGTCCTTGGCTCTTTGGGGTTGGTCCCTTCGAGTGGTTCGTCTGCAGGATTCTCGGGGTTTGGCTCTCCGTGCGGTTCATGTCCGGGGTGTATCCAACGTTCTGGCAGACGGTCTGTCTCACTTCCTTCTTCTCGCTTCCTGTGACTTATATTCCTTATAAGGAATATAAGTCACAATATATGTGACGCCCTTCCCCGGCTGTGAAGTGTTCGCAGTGGATGCCTTTCGGCAGGACTGGTCGAGGTGGGGTTACCTGTACCTCTTTCCTCCGGTCCAGCTGTTGCTTCAGGTTCTGGTTCAGTTGGAGACATTCCCAGGGAGAGTAGTCCTCGTGGCCCCTTGGTGGCCTGCCCAGCCTTGGTTTCCTGTGCTTTTGGCTCGGTGCCCGAACCCGGGACGTTTCCCGCGGCTCCGCCTCTTTCAGCAGGTCGGTTCGATCCGGTACAGGGCTGGTTCGACCTTCTCCTCTGCTCTTCGCGTCTGGTCTTTTTGACGCGGGTGTATCACCATTTCTGTGGTGATCAGGTGGCTTCGTTGATGGTGTCCCACCTGAGAGCTTTGTCTCGGCGACAGTATGAAGTTTCCTGGCGTTCTTTTCACCATTTTCTGGCTCTTCGTAGGTTGTCTCTTCTTTTGGATCGGTTTTTTTTGTCCTTTCTTTCTTGGATTTTTCAGGACCGTCATTTGATGCCTAATACTGTCGCCTCGTATCGTGCGGCGCTGGCGGAGCCGCTCAAGCTAGCTTTCGGGGTGGACGTCACATCCGCCCCATTTCGTAAGATTTTCCGTGCTATGTTTCACCTCCGGCCTGCTCATGCGCCTCCTGAGCCGTCCTGGTCCTTGGACAGGATGCTCTCCTATCTTTCCTCTCCTCAGTTTGTGGTGGCCCCTTCGGTTCCTGATTGTTTTTCCAAGGCTTTGTTTTTGTTGGCATTGGCCTCTGGGGGCCGGGTAGGGGAGCTTCATGCTCTCCTCCGGCACAGGAGTTTCTGCTCTTTTGGTCCTGGGGGTAGGTTTGTCCGTTTGCAGCCTTCTCCATCTTTTCTGGCGAAGAACGAGACGGCTGCTTTCCGGAGTGTTCCGTGGGTCATTGATGCTTGGTTGGTTCGGCCGGGGATGCGTCATGTATTGTGTCCAGTTGCAGCACTTCGCCGTTACCTGCGCACTTCAGCCAAGGTGGCTGGGGATGCGCTTTGGGTTGATCCGGTTTCCCTTGTTCCCTGTTCCAAGGCTCGGGTCTCCCAGGTTGTCTGCAGGGTTATTAAGTCTAGCCAGCCTGCGGTCTATCCTCGCACCCATGACATTAGGAAGTTTGTGGCTTTGGCTGCCGTGTTTGGTAACATGTCTTGGGCACATTTTCGGGCGCAAGGATTTTGGAAGTCTAACAGGGTCCTGGCTGCCCGTTATTTGGTGAACGTCCCTGCTCCTCGGCGTTCTTGTGTTGCTTTGGGTCGCAGGTTGCAGCCAGTTGTCTCGACTTCACGTTGAGGAGTTTGTGGCCGCCGCCTTTCGGGTAAGTCCCCTTTTTTCCTTCTCTTTGGGTATGTAGCTCCAGGGAGCCGTAGGGGCTCCCCACAGAAAACCAGAGTTGAATGTAATGAAACACCATTTTCTGGGTGAGCCCCGGAGGCTCCCTGGCTACCCTCCCTTCCATCCAGTTGGTGAGATTTTTCGCATTGGTTGAAGCCTAGTTTCCGAACTGAAGGCAGCCGGCGTGGTGAGGTCCGGGCCCCCCCCTTTCCCTCCTGGGGAGGGGAGGGCTTCGCGGATGACCGGCGCGGCAGTAAATAGATTGTTTGATTGTTTTCCTTGGGATTGTAGGGAGTTTTCTACCTCTCTGTTCGGTTTTTGTTGTAGTTTCTTACCATGTGGGGTTTGTTTTGTTACGCCTACCTTTCTGGGTGCCTAACCCCGGTCGATGGCAGATAAGGAAAACCCCCAACCATATGGGGTTTTCCAGGGTCATTGCTCCCTGAAACCTCTCTGAAAGGGCCAGGTTCTGGCGCTGGTCCCTGGTAGGTCTGAACTCCATAGCTAATGTCCCGGTCTAACATAACATACATTAGCCCGATAAGCTCCAGGGAGCCTCCGGGGCTCACCCAGAAAATGGCGTTTCATTACATTCAACGCTGGTTTTTTCTTGTATGGAAATACTCATTATGTTACGATCCAATCAGCTGCAGTGATAGCGGCATGAGGCATGTGTTGCCACAGTCACATCTTCTATTTTTAAAGAATCAAATTAATTTTACTATATTTAAATTAGGCTTACCAATGTTGAGAATGGAAGGCTTTGCAATCTTTGGGTTGCCTTGTCCTCATGTCCTTGTACAGAACTTCTCTAATTGTACTGCTACTCACACATGTAATGTGTGTCATGTTCATTACATTACATTCATTCGGTAATGTTCATTGTCTACATAAACGATCTACCAGAAGGAATACAAAATTATATGAACATGTTTGCTAATGATGCTAAGATAATAGGAAGGATAAGAAACTTAGATGATTGTCATGCCCTTCAAGAAAACCTGGACAAAGTAAGTATATGGAGCACCACTTGGCAAATGGATTTAATGTGAATAAATGCTATGTTATGGAATGTGGAATTGGAGAACATAGACCCCACACAACCCATAAATTATGTGAGAAATCTTTAAAGAATTCTAACAAAGAAAGAGATCTAGGGGTGGTTCTAGATAGAAAACTATCACCTGAGGGCCACATTAAGAACATTGTGTGAGGAGCCTATGCTACACTTTCTAACTTCAGAATTGATTTTAAATATATGGATGGAGAAATACTAAAGAAATTGTTCATGACTTTTGTTAGACCAAAGCTGGAATATGCAACGGTTGTGTGGTGCCCATATTTTAGGAAGCACATCAACTGGAAAAGGTGCGAAGACATGCCACTAAGTGGCTCCCAGAACTGAAGGACAAGAGCTATGAGGAGAGGTTAAAGGCATTAAATATGCAAAAACTAGAAGCTAGAAGAAAAAGATGTGATATGATCACTACGTACAAAATAGTAAGAGGAATTGATAAAATTGACAGGGAAGAATTCCTGAGACCTGGAACTTCAAGAACAAGAGGTCATAGATTTAAACTAACAAAACAAAGCTGCCAGAAAAATATAAGAAAATTCACTTTTGTAAACAGAGTGGTAGATGGTTCGAACAAGTTAGGTGAGAAGGTGGTGGAGGCCAAAACCGTCAGTAATTTCAAAGCGTTTTATGACAGAGTGCTGGAAAGACGGGACACCACGAGCGTAGCTCTCATCCTGTAACTACACTTAGGTAATTACACTTAGGTAATTACACTTAGGTAATTACACTTAGGTAATTACACTTAGGTAATTACACTTAGGTAATTACACTTAGGTAATTACATAACATACTTATATATACTGTACTGAGACTGAATCTTGTGCCATATGAAAATAAAAAATTCTAAGTACATTAATTACTGTGAAAATAAGACTGAATTAGTATTTATTTGGCACAGATTAGTCTTTGTGGCAATAGCAAGAATGGAGAGACCTCAGCTTGTACGAGAAATGATGATCATTGAACCAGCTAAGACCGAATTTACATCAAGACACAGCCTCGAGTGGAAATTCCTTTTTCTCGACCATAGGTAAGTTGGTTAGATGTGTGGGTAAAGCATTTTGCCCACACAGTGCCATTGTTATTAGGTGTCACCTTTTTGGTTACATTATAGCTGTGTCATGTTTATTAACAAAATCCTGACAAGTTTTTATTATATTATCTGGGGGGATTATATTATATTAGCCTAGAGCTATCCAGGCTGATATGTATATCATTAGACTTTGGCATCAGTCAGTATGAATGGAGTTCTAGGCCTACCGGGGACCACGAGCCAGGACCTGACCCCGCCCCCTCAGAGGCATGAGGAGCAATGGCCTATAGAAATGCACACATGGGATTTAGAGAAGTCTATGTCTGCCATCGACTGGGCCAGGCACCCAGAAAGGTATGTCTCAAAACAAACCCCTATTCTGGTTAAAATAACTAAAATAGGCTAACGAGTGGACAGAACTCCGCAAATGAAAAGGAGCAAATGAGCATGACGTCACATGAGCCACGTCACATGTCTGCGCAGCTCCCCCTCCCCAGGAGGGGGAAGGGGGAGCCCCAGACCCACCATGCCGGCAATCCACCCTTCAGGTCTCAGCTGATGTGATCTGGCTAGGTCGTGTGGCTCCAGATTCTCTCTGTGTTGTGCTGTGCCTTGTGTCCAGTACTGCTGTTACGGTGGAGTGTAAGCTGAGAGTATTATTCACACGTACTCGGGCTGCATGTTCTTAGGTTTCCCTTTCCTGAGTGTCTCATAAGTACCACCCTTGGGGTTTGGGGTTATCTTCCACAAGTCACCTTGGGGTCTACCTCTGTTGGTCTTTTGCTGGTCAGTGATTGACCATCCCAAATGTGTTGGGGGTTTCCTCCCTTGTTTACATTGGGGTAAGTGGTAGTTTTTGCACTGGTAGGGGCACGGGGTACTGTGCAGCTAGTCTTCACCTATAACAGTGGCCGGCTCTGTTTCTCCTGGGTACGTTGTCCTCTTGCAGGGTTTTTCTTTTCATTTTTGTTCTGCCTGGTGGGGGGTGGGGGGGAAGGGGTCTGCCTTTGTGTCTCTTGTCCCCAGTTATATTAGGGTCTTGACCTATGGTGTTCGGTGGTACCCCCTGCTTGGCCCCCGTGTGTGGATACGTCCCGGGGGTTCAATTTCAGAAGTTTGGTAGACTTGGGCGCCAGTTAGCAGTACCCTGCCTAGGCTTACCCTTAGTGATAAGTCTAGAGGCCCTGGGAAACCCTGTGGGGGTGCACAGGGTCCAATGGATGCGACTCCTGGGTCCCCTCTCGCATTGTGCAAGTTTGAGGGTTGCTCTGTCCCCTTGTCTTAGAGCGACGCTCATTGTTTTTGCCTCTGTCATGCTGCCTGTTGAGTCGGTAACACCTTCGATCTGGAATCCTGCAAGCATTGTTGCTTGTTTGTGACTCAATTCACCCAATCCACTGATGACATTATTCGGATGTAGGTCACTCAGGCGTTGCATGCTAGGTATTAGTTTCTGCAACATGTTAGGTTGGTTGCTTCCCCGGAAGCCCCAAGGCTGCCCCACTTTGCTCATAGGGATCCAGACTTGGGGTTGTTGGTCGCTTCGGCCTTGGTTAGTCCAAACCCCCTCGTTCTTCTCCTGCTGTGGTTCATTCAGTTCCCCCCCCCCCTCTCTTTACCCTTGCTTCCGGCTCCAAAATGTCTGAGGGCTTCAGAATCGGGGCGGGGTTTAGAAGTTTCTGAGACTCGGGCAGTTTTGGGGGGTTGCCCCTTCCGAGGTGGTGACGGAGGCATTCGAGTCCTTTCTTCCAGCCATAGAGCCGGGGTCTGACCAGGGGGCCCCTTCTCTTCTTGCTTTTCCGGCCACCCCCGGCTTTTTCTTGTGAGGCCAGGGCTTTGGAGGATGACTCGTCCCTGGGGCCTGATGTAGAGGTTCCCGGGGTTGGGGAGTAGCTGACTTGGGCCCGGTTGGACTCCTCTTGGGTTTTCCAACCCTCAGAGTGGGGCTTTCTGTTACAAGGGGTGTGGTTTTCTTTTCCCCATCTGCGTATGAGTTGGATTTGGGTTCAGCTCCTTCCCTGGATCATTTCCGTGTTCCTGCGGATCCTTTAGTTCCGTCCTTCCAGAGGTTTTCGGCTTCCTGCATTTTGCCTACTGAGATGCGGGTGGCCATTGTGGCTTACCTCCTGCGTGACCCAGAATATGCCTCTATAATGGATCTGTCTTCCTTCAGGTTTGGGTCTTCGTCTCCATACTGGGTTTGTTATGAGGTTCCAGAGTTGTCCTGGCTTGTGGACGGCCCGTTGTTGTCCTTGGATGCTTGGAGTGTTTTCTGTTGTACCCACACGCTTGAGTGGTGTGAGGCGTTTACGATGGTCCAGGTTTACCTATGGGGCAAATTTAAGCACCTTAATGCGTACTTGTTCGCTCCTGCCCTTCTGCGGGATGTAGGCGCGATTCTGCTTCATGTGCAAGTCCCCTCCCTGTTCGCTGTGCTTGTGGCTGAGGACTTGCACTCTCATGGCTTGTTGGCTTTGGTCTAGCATTTCTTTTCCCTCCTGGAGCTATCTTCTGATTGGCTTGCGGAGAATGTTGAGGCACTTAGGGCCGTTCCTGGGTCAGGTGCCTTGATCTCAGCCGTTCGTGCGTCGTCTGCGCTGCTGAAGATGTTTGTGCCGATCCTGCGGGATGCAGTGTTACGGTTTTTTGCTGGACATCTTGCGTGTCGGCAGGTTGTGCTCGCTTTCTCCTTGGAATCTGCTTGGGCCCTGGCTCTTGGGTTTTCTTTGCCCTTTTGTCCCTTGCTATTTGCGGACTCTGCAGTTGAGTGGTATCTGCAGGCGGCTTCTTCCAGCTGTCTTCCAATGTCGGACTTGTTGGTTCTCCGGGGGGTCCCTGGGGGTTCTTCCCAGAGGGGTCGTGCCAGGGCTCAGGGTTCCGCTCGTTAGGGTAGGCCCCAGGTGACAGGTTTGGAGCCGGTGCTACCTTCGGAACCGTCTGCATCTGGTTGGCGCGGTGATCGCTTTGTGTGCAGATCGGGTTCTCGTAAGGGGCGTCAGCCCTTTTGTGGTTCGCCCCATTGATGGGGCGATGGGGAGGAGGCTTGTTCTGTTTGTTTATGCCTGGTCTCACAATTTGTGGGCTTTTTGGGGTCGTTTCCTGTGGCCTGCGGTGGCATTGGGTGGCCCTCTCCTCCTTCGGGGGGGTTCAGGGTAAGCGGGGCAGGCCTCTTCTCCTGCGCTCTGTCAGGTCGTCTCGGAGTGGGTGTGCTTGGGCGGGGATTGAAATGACGACTTCTCTCAGGTGGGTTTCCTGCCTGTTTCCAGTTCTGAAACGGGACTGTGCGAACCTGCGGTTCATTCTGGACGTGTCCCGTCTGAACCCCTGGGGTTTCTTGCCCCTCCTTGTGGTTGACCATTCTGTCCCAGGTCCGGCTTCTGTTGGAGCCAGACGCTTGGATGGTGTCCCTAGACACCATCCAAGGACACGTATTGGCTTGTCCCAATTCATCCGGGGTTCAGGAACTGGCTCGGGTTTGTTGTGAGGTGTCTTTGTTACTGCTTTCGTTGTCTCTCATTCAGGTTGAACCTGGCTCCTCGCGTGTTCACATGCCTCACCCTGGGTTGGTTTTTCCCGACTGTGTCTTTTAGGTGTTCGGATGTTGGCCTACCTCGACGACTGCCTGATCTGGGCCCCCAGTCGGTCCACGTGTCTGCTCGCCAGGGATTTGGTTCTTTTCCAGCTAGCCGGGTTCAGGTTCCTGGTGAACTGGCAGAAGTCCCATCTGGTCTCCTCCAGGTTCAGACTTGGCTGGGTCTTGTATGGGACTCTCAAACTGCTTCTTTGTCTCTCACTCTGGAGTCTCTCTTTCGGCTGCAGTCCCGCATATAATTGTTTCGGGGGGCTCCCAGGTCACTCACAGTTGCTTGAGGGTCTGTGCAGGAGCCTGAACTTTGCAATGATGGCCTACCCGCCGGGTTGGCTTTGGCTTCGTCGGCTGTTCTGGTTCCTATGGGAACATCCCGTCCGCCTCTCTCGCGATCGCTGGGTTTGGCCTTGTGTCGTCTGCTGCATTCCCAGCTTCCTCTTCAGGTTTTTCGGGTTTCAGTGCCTTGGCGCCTACCTGAGCCCTCGCTCGATGTGTTCATGGACGCGTCGTCTCTCGGCTGGGGTTTTGTGGCCAGTGCTCACCAGACCAGCTAGGGGCAGTGGGGTCCGTCTTTCCATCGGGCCCACAGCACAATGCAGGAGTTTGCAGCGGTGGGGTCTGCCCTTCCATCGGGCTCACAGCACGATGTGGGAGTTTGCGGCGGTGTGATTTTCTCTTCGGTGGGTTTGGGTCGCCTGCGGATCAACGATCCGACTCCATTTGGACTGCTCCCCGGTGGTTCATTGCATGAACTGAGGGGGTTCAATGCGGTTCTTGGCTCTTTGGGGCTGATCGCTTCGGGTGACTCGTCTGCTGAGTTCTTGGGGTTTGACTCTTCTGGCCATTCACGTCCAGCGGGGGGGCCAAGTTTCTGCCGGACAGCCTGTCCCGGTTCAATTCCCTGTCCAAGGAATGGGCGGTCGACGCAGACTCATTCAGTTGGCTATGCCAAACGTTCGGGAGTCCGGAGGTGGACCTCTTCATGTCGGCGTGGTCAAGGCGTCTTCTGGTATATGTGGAGCCTTTTCCCGACTGCGAGGCCATTGAGGTCAATGCCTTTCAGCAGGACTGGTCGAGGTGGGGGTTCCTGTACCTCTTCAATCCCCCTCCCCCCCCCCCCCCCCCCCCCCCCACCGGTTCAGCTGTTGCTCCAGTTCCTGGCTCTCTTGAAGAATTAACAGTGAAGAGTAGTCCTCTTGGCCCCATGGTGGCCGGCCCAGCCTTGATTTTAGGCGCTGCTTGCTCGGTGTCCAAACCCGGAGGTTTTCCCGTGGCTCTGCCTTTTTTGGCAGATCAGTCTGGTCCGTTATGAGACCAGTTCAACTGACTCGAGTCTATCACCATATATATGGTGATCAGGTGGCTTCTTTGATAGTGTCCCACCTGCGGGCTTCATCTCGGCGGCAGTATGACGTTTCCTGGTGGTCCTTCCATTTCTTTTTGTCTCTCCATTGCTGCACTTCACTTTCAGTTAAGGTTGTTTTGTCCTTTCTCTTGTAGTTGTTTCTTTACCGTTATCTTATGCTGAATACTGTTGTCTCGTATCATGCGGCTGTGGCAGAACCGCTGCAGCTTGCTTTCGGTATTGATGTTACTTCTGCACCATTTTGGAAGCTGTATATGGCGTTGTTTCACATCTGGCCTGCTCATGTGCCGCCTGAGCTGTCCTGGTCTTTGGACAGAGTGCTCTCTTATCTGTCTTCTCCTTGGTTTGTTGTGGGCCCTTCAGCTCAGAATTGTTTTTCTAAAGCTCTTTTCTTGTTGGCATTGGCCTCTGGGGGGTCAGGTTGGGGAGCTTTATGTTCTTCTCCGGCGCAGGGGTTTCTGCTCTTTTGATCGAGGTGATAGGTCTGCAGCCATCTCCTTCTTTTCTGGTGAAGAAGGAGACTGCTGCTTTCCGGAGGGGTCCTTGGGTTGTTAATACTTGATTGGTCAGGCCGGGGGTGCATCATGTGTTGTGTCCGGTTGCGGCTTTCCGCCATTATTTGCGCGCCATGGCCTCTGTGACCGGGGACGTGCTTTGGGTTGATCCAGTTTCCCTTCTTCCTTGTTCTAGGGTTCGGGTCTTTCAGGTTGTCCACAGGGTTATTCGGTGTACTCAGCCTATGGTCTATCCCCGTGCCCATGATGTTCGTAAGTTTGCTGCGTTGGCTGCCTTCTTCGGTAACATTTCCTGGGCTGACATTTGGGAACGGGGTTTTTGGTGGTCGAACAGGGTCCTAGCTGCATGCTACCTCGTAAATGTTCCTGGGCCTTGTCGGGCCTGTGTCCTATTGGGTTGTCGGTTGCAGCCTGTTGTCTCGATTTCGAGTTGAGGTGAAAGCACCGACCGCCTCCCGGGTAAGTCCATCTACCTGGGAGAGTAGAGGGACTTACCTGGGAGGTAAGTCGGAGCTCCAGGGAGCTCTGTAGCTCTGGGGAGCTGAAGGGGCTTCCACCAGGAAACCAGCACTAAATGTAATGAAATACCATTTTCTGGGTGAGATCCGGTGGCTCCCCCCCCCCCCCCGGTTGGCGGTTTTTCGTGTGTTTTGATATCCAGCCTCAAACTGAATAGTGGATCGCCGGCGCGGTGGGTCTGGGGCTCCCCATTCCCCCTCCTGGGAAGGGGGTAGCTGCGCAAACATGCGGCGTGGCTCGTGTGACGTCATGCTCATTTGCTCGTTTTCATTTGGGGAGTTCTGTCCACTCACTAGTCTATTTTAGTCGTTTTAAGCAGAATAGGGGGTTTATTTTGAGGTGCTTACCTTTCTGGGTACCTGGCCCAATTGATGGCAGACATAGAAGGCTTCAAATCCCATGTATGCATTTCTATAGGCCATTGCTTCTCGTGCCTCTCTGAGGTGGCCAGGTTCTGGCTCGTGGTACCCGGTCGGCCTAGAACTCCATTCACACTGACTGATGCCAAAGTCTAATGATATACACATCAGCCTGGAAAGGCACCACAGATGCACCATTTGTGTGTCTGGTGTCTTCTTGCCTTACATGAGTGTCTGGTGTCTTCTTGCCTTACATGTGTGTCTGGTGCCTTCTTGCCTTACATGAGTGTCTGGTGTCTTCTTGCCTTACATGAGTGTCTGGTGCCTTCTTGCCTTACATGAGTGTCTGGTGCCTTCTTGCCTTACATGAGTGTCTGGTGCCTTCTTGCCTTACATGAGTGTCTGGTGTCTTCTTGCCTTACATGAGTGTCTGGTGTCTTCTTGCCTTACATGAGTGTCTGGTATCTTCTTGCCTTACATGAGTGTCTGGTGCCTTCTTGCCTTACATGTGTGTCTGGTATCTTCTTGCCTTACATGAGTGTCTGGTGTCTTCTTGCCTTACATGAGTGTCTGGTGTCTTCTTGCCTTACATGAGTGTCTGGTGTCTTCTTGCCTTACATGAGTGTCTGGTGCCTTCTTGCCTTACATGAGTGTCTGGTGTCTTCTTGCCTTACATGAGTGTCTGGTGTCTTCTTGCCTTACATGAGTGTCTGGTGTCTTCTTGCCTTACATGAGTGTCTGGTGTCTTCTTGCCTTACATGAGTGTCTGGTGTCTTCTTGCCTTACATGAGTGTCTGGTGTCTTCTTGCCTTACATGAGTGTCTGGTGCCTTCTTGCCTTACATGAGTGTCTGGTGTCTTCTTGCCTTACATGAGTGTCTGGTGTCTTCTTGCCTTACATGAGTGTCTGGTGTCTTCTTGCCTTACATGAGTGTCTGGTGTCTTCTTGCCTTACATGAGTGTCTGGTGCCTTCTTGCCTTACATGAGTGTCTGGTGTCTTCTTGCCTTACATGAGTGTCTGGTGTCTTCTTGCCTTACATGAGTGTCTGGTGTCTTCTTGCCTTACATGAGTGTCTGGTGCCTTCTTGCCTTACATGAGTGTCTGGTGTCTTCTTGCCTTACATGTGTGTCTGGTATCTTCTTGCCTTACATGAGTGTCTGGTGTCTTCTTGCCTTACATGAGTGTCTGGTGTCTTCTTGCCTTACATGAGTGTCTGGTGTCTTCTTGCCTTACATGAGTGTCTGGTGTCTTCTTGCCTTACATGAGTGTCTGGTATCTTCTTGCCTTACATGAGTGTCTGGTGTCTTCTTGCCTTACATGAGTGTCTGGTATCTTCTTGCCTTACATGAGTGTCTGGTGTCTTCTTGCCTTACATGAGTGTCTGGTGTCTTCTTGCCTTACATGAGTGTCTGGTGCCTTCTTGCCTTACATGAGTGTCTGGTGCCTTCTTGCCTAACGTGTGTGGTGCCGCCACCCTTGTGTACTGTGTGCTTATATTTTGCTACAGCTATTATGTCAGTTTTGAATTAAATGAAATGTTCTTTTCTGATGAGGTACCCAGTAACCCCCTATCCCAACCCTGCAACTTCCTTGTTGGGTGAAGGGGCTCAGTTTGGGTGGCTCGTGAGTAAGGAAGCTGAATGATTGGTATCTGGGGTGACCTAGGTTGGCCACCTGGAGGCAATGAGGCATATCACAGTTAGGGTGTTTGCACTGCGATAACTGAAAGCCCCTAATTTTCTTCCAGCAGAGGCTTGTTTTGTTATACTTAAGCTTTCTGGTATGATTATTTCTAGTTTTTGGAATGATCTGTGATTCCCAGGCTCCCCTTGCCTCATAGAGAGACCCAGATTCTGGTCCTGCTTCCCAGTTATCATGGTTGGGTTGCAGAGGCATGGTACATCTCTGTAAAGTTTGGCTGGACCAGCACTTAGCTCAGGGAGCTACTGATGCCCTACAAGAAAATGAGTTTTATTAAATTTAAAGCTTTCTTTTTAAGTTAGAGTTCCCTCACCCAAAAATTTGACTCTTAAAAGATATTTTATTTTGCAGAGCACCAACAATCATTGGTTACATGCCATTTGAAGTGTTGGGAACTTCTGGATATGACTACTATCATGTTGACGACTTAGACAAAATTGCAGCTTGTCATGAACAATGTAAGTTATGAGTTAAGAGTGGCCCCTTCAACTTAAAGAATCTCTCTTGCTGAAAAACTAGTAGTAATTCTCAACAACTTCCTCCCTTTTATATTAAATTCATCAGATCACCATCTCTGTCTACTCTTCTCCTTCCATTCTGGTCACTGAATCTGTGCACAAGACCTTGTTACTGTCCCAATACTCTTATGTTACATCTCAAGATCATAACACAATAAATTATGTACAGATACTCTATTTTAAGGATTCTGCTATAATTTTCAAGGGTGATAATTTAAAGGAATGTGTATCTTAGCCATTAAAATGCATGACGAATTAATATATTTTATGAATTAATTGGTTTAAATCTTGCAATCCGAGATAGAAAGTTTTATTAAGTTTGGCTTAAAGACTGAGTCTGAAAATTAAAAAGAAATGGTGATTTTAAAAGTACAATATGTAATTTCTGGGGGAAGCCCTGTCGGCTCCCCGGAACTATCCAGGCTGAATGGACATGTTTAACTTTCTGGCATCAGTCAATGTGCATGGAGTTCTTGACCATGAGCCAGAACCTTGCCCCTTCACAGAGGCGTGAGGAACAATGGCCTATAGAAACTCCCGTGTGGTTGGGAGCATTCTGCATCTGCCAACGACAGGATCTGGCACCCAGAAAGGTAGGAGCCTCAAAACAAATCCCTATTCTGGTGAAACTATTGCTACTGAAAGCCAAATGAGTGGACAGAACTCACCAAACAAAAATTAGCAAACGAGCATGACATGCTTGGAGCCACCTTTCACAAGTCACCTCGGGATCTACCCCCGCTGTGTCTTTTACTGCTCAGTACTCGGCCACCCTTGGATCTCAACTGGTGTCTTTATTGCTTGTGTTTGCCTCTGGGTAGGGGGTAGTTTCTGTCACTGGTAGGGGCGCAGGGTACTGCACAGCTAGTTTTCACCTCTTACAGCGGCCGGCTCTGTTCCACCTGGGTACGTTGTCCTCTTGTCGGGTTTTGCTTTTTGTTTTTGTTTTTCTGCCTGGTGAGGGGATCTGCCTTGGTGGTTGACCCTTCTGTGTTGGGGTGTATGTATCTATCATTATATCTATTCTCAGTTTTTGTGTGGTTGGTGGTACCCCTTGCCAGGCCCACGTGACTGGGCACGTCCCAGGGGTTCAGCTATTAGCAGATTGTTTGGTAGTCTTGGGCACCGGTTCACAGTACCCTGCCTGGGCTTCCCTTACATGCTAAGACTGACCTTAGCATGTTAATAAGGCTAAGGGCCCTGGGAAACCCTGTGGGGGTTCCGTGGTCCGATGGATGTGACCCTTGAGTCCCGTCTCGCTTTGTGCGAGTCGGAAGGTTGCTCTGTTCCCTTGTCTCTTGGGGGGTACAATCACTGGTTGTGCCTCAGCCATGCTGCCTGTTGGGTCGGTGATTCTTTTGACCCGGAGTCATGCGACATTTGTTGCCTGTACATGCTCCAGTTCACCCAAGCTACTGATCATCATATGAGGGCGCAGGCGGCAGCTGCATTGCATCCCAGGTTTAGGTTGCTGCAACGGGCTAGGTTAGTTGCTTCCCCACATGCCCCATGAGACTACCCCGTTTTGGTTTTAGGGACCTTTTGTGGGAGTCGCTTTGGCTCTGGTTCCATTCTTCCCCCCCCTCTTGTCCTCCCCCTTCTGTTGTCCATCTGGGTCCTCCCCCCTTGCTTCCGGCTCCGACGTGTCTGAGGGTTTCGGAGTCAGGGCAGGGTTTAGTTGGTGTTGAGACTCGGGCAGTCTCATGGGAGTCCCCTTCCGGGGTGGCAGTTTAGGCATTTGATCCTGGTCCTCCTGCTGGAGCTTCTGGGTCTGACCAGTGGGCCCCCCTTCATTTCTGCTTTTTCGGCTGCTCTTGCCTTTTCTTTAGAGGTGGGGGGTGTGGAGGACGGCTCGGCCCTGGATCCTCCGGGTGAGGTTCCTGGGGAAAGAGAGGACTTGACCTGGGGGCCTTGGGCCCTGTTGGACCCTGTTTCAGTTTTTGTACCCTTGGAGCGGGACTTGATGTTACAGGGTGTGGAGTTCTCTTTTGCTCCCTCCTTGTATGAGTTGGATTTGGCATCTACCCCCCTCCCTGGTGGGGTCGTACCAGGGATCTGAGTTCTTTCTCTCATGGTAGGCAAGTGGTGTCAGGTTTGGCGCCGGTGCAGCCTTTGGTGCTGTCCGTTTCTGTTCGGTGCGGGGGATCGCTCTTTGGGCCATTTGGGTGCTCGTAAGATGCGTCAGCCTTTTCGTCCCCTTGACAAGGTGGTGGGGGTGAGGCTCGCTCTATTTGAGGCTCTGTTTGAGGTGAGACTCCCCAAAACGGGACTGTGTGGACTCCGGTTCATTTTGGACTTGTGTCGTCAGAACCCGTGGTGCCATCCCTCGATGGGGTTTATTGCCCATCCTTTTGGATGACTACTCTGTCCCAGGTACGTCTTCTGTTGGAGCCGGGTACTTGGATGGTGTCCCTGGACCCCAAGACGCATATTAGCACATCCTGATTCATCCGCGGTTCAGGGACTAGCTTGGTTTTGTGGTGGGACGTCAAGATTATCGCTTTCATTGTCTTCCATTCGGCTTGAATCTGGCGCCTCGCACTTCCTCTTGCCTTACTTGGGTTGTGGTGGCCCACCTGTGTCTGTTAGGTGTTCAGGTTCTGGCCTACCTCGACGCCTGGCGAGTTTCGGCTCCCAGCCTGTCCACGCGTCTGCTTGCCAGGGATTTGGTTCTTTCCCCGCTCGCCGAGTTCGGGTTCTTGATAAACTGGCGGAAGTCCCATCTGGTTCCCTCTCAGGTTCGGTCTTGGCTGGGGTCTTGTGTGGGACGCTCGGGCTGCTTCCTTGTCTCCTCCTCCTTCAGAGGTTCTGCTCTGTCCGCGTTCCCACCTTCGTCCATTTCTGAGGGGCTCCTGTGTAACGGGTGGTTGCTCGAGGGTCTGTGCGGGAGTCTGAACTTTGCCATGATGGTCTGCCAGCTGGGTCGGGTGTGACTTTGTCGGCTGTTTTGGTTTCTTTGGGGACGTCACTTCCACCTCTCTCGCAACCACTGGTTTCGGCCTCTGGGGGCCTTGCATCGGTTGCTGTGTTGCCTGCTTCCTCTTTCAGTTTTTCGGGGTTCAGTGCCTTGGCGCCTACCCGAGCCCTCGCTTGATGTTTCACAGACGTGTTGTCTCTTGGCTTGGGCTTTGTGACCAGTGCTCACCAAGCCGGCCAGGAGTGGTGGGTTCCGTCCCTCCGTCGGGCTCACAGCACAGTGAGGGAGTTCACGGTTGTGTGGATGTCGCTCCGGAGGATTCGGGTCTCTCGTGTATAGACAGTCTGGCTCCATTCGGATTGTTCCCCGATGGATCATTGCCTGAACCGGGGGGGAGTTCGATGCGGTCCTTGGCTCTTTAGGGTTGGTCGCTTCGGGTGACTCATCTGCTGAGTTCACAGGGTTTGGCTCGCCTGGCGGTTCACGTTCGAGGGGTGTGTCCAATGTCCTGGCAGACGGCCGGTCCTGGTTCATTTCCCTGTCCATGGAATAGACGATTGATGCCGACTCGTTTCGTTGGCTCTGTCAGACGTTCAGGCCTCCAGAAGTGGATCTCTTTGCGTCGGCGTGTTCGAGGCATCTCCCAGTATATGTGGTGCCCTTCCCTGACTGCAAGGCCGTCGGGGTTGATGCCTTCAGGCAGGACTGGGCGAGGTGGGGTTACCTGTACCTCTTCCCGGTTCCGCTGTTGCTTCAGGTCCTGGCTCGCTTGGAGACTTACCAGGGAAGAGTAGTCTTCTTTGCCCTTTGGTGGCTAGCCCAGCCTTGGTTACAGGCGCTACTTGCTTAGTGTCTGAGCCCAAGGGTTTTCCAGCGGCTCCGCCTCTGTCAGGAAATCGGTCTTGCCCATTACGAGGCTGGTAGGCTCTTCTCCTTGAGTCTTCGCATCTTGTCTTTCTGACTTGAGTCTATCACCATTTGTATGGGGCACAGGTGGCTTTGTTGTTGGTCTCCCATCTGTGTGCTTCATCTCGGCGGCAGTATAAGGTTTCCTGGATTTCCTTTCGGTTTTTCCTATCACTGAGTAGATGTATTTCAGTCTCTGATAGGGTTGTTTTGTCCTTCCTGTCGTGGTTGTTTCAGGACCGACATCTTATGCTGAATACTGTCACCGCCTATCGTGTGGCACTGACGGAGCCTCTCCAGCTTGCGTTCAGTATTGATGTTACCTCTGCTCCATTCCACAAGTTGTCTCGTCCATTGTTTCACCTCCAACCTGCTCATGCGTCGCAAAGCCCTCCTGGTCCTTGGACCGTGTGCTCTCTTTCCTCTCTTCTCCTCGGTTTGTGGTGGCCCCTTCGGTTCAAGATTGTTTTTCAAGGCTCTTTTCCTGTTGGCATTGGCTTTTGGGGGTTGGATCGGGAAGCTTCGGGCTCTCCTCCAGCGCAGGGGTTTCTGCTTTTTTGGTCCTGGTGGTAGGTTTGTTCGATTGCAGCTGTCTCATTCTTTTCTGCTGAAGAATGAGACTGCTGCTTTCCGGAGGGGTCCTTGGGTTGTTGATGCTTGGTTGATCAGACCGTGGATGCATCATATGTTGTGTCTGGTTGCGGCTCTTTGCCGTTAATTGTGCGCCACAGCTTCAGTGGCCAGTGATGAGCTGTGGGTTGATCCGGTTTCCCTTCTTCCCTGTTCCCAGGCTGACATTAGTTTGCTGCTTTGGCTGACGTCTTTGGCAACATGTCTTGGGTTGATATTCGGGCACGGGGTTGGCCTTACTGACCTATGTGAGGTAGGTCGTGTTTATGGGTGGCCCCCCCTCAGTTACTACCTGAGTTATAGTACTGGGCAGAGAAGCCTAAACCCTAGGGAAGCACTTGGGGTTATTGCTTGCAACATCGCTAGGCGCTATTGAAAAACCTGGGTTGAATGAAATGAAACACCATTTTCTGGGTGAGAGCCGGAGGCTCCCCATAGCTATACCGGGCTGATGTGCATATATTAGACCATGGCAACAGTCAGTCAATGGAGTTAAAGGCCTACTGGGGACCAGAGCCAGAACCTTGCCCCAATCAGATGAGTCATGAGAAGTAATGGCTTATAGATACCCCCCATGTAATTGGAAGCAGTCTATGTCTGCCAGGTCAGGCACCCAGGAAGATAAGAATTCCAAAACAAACCACAGCTAGTCAAAAATTGCAAACCGAGTGCCAAACTAACAAGTAGAATCGAAAACAAGCAAACAAGCATGACTTCACCAGAGCCGCTGTGCAGCCATCTGTGTGACTTTCCCCTCCCCGGGAGGGGGGAAGGGGGGATCCTAGACCTCTGTGCCAGCCATTCCTCATCAGTTTAGAGGTTGAATATCAAAAATACAAAAAAAAAAAAAAAAAAAAGCTGACTGGAGGGAGGGAGGAAAGGATGCCGGGGAACCTCCGGGTCTTGCCCAGAAAATGGGATTTCATTACATTCTTATACGTGACTGGTTCAGTCTTCTCCTCGGCTCTTCGCGTCTGGTATTTTGACACGGGTATCACCAACTCTGTGGTGTTCAGGTGGCTTTGTTGACAGTGTCCCACCTGCGAGCTTCATCTTAGCAACAGTATCACATTCCTGGTGTTTCTATGCACTTCTTCTTGCTCTTTGTAGGTTGTCGTCTCTTTCGCATCGGGTTGTCTTGTCCTTTCTTGGGTTTTCAGGACTACAGTTATTTGATGTTTTTTACTGTTGCCTTGTTTTGTGCGGTGCTGGCGGAGCCGCTCCAGCTTGCGTTCGGGGTGGACGTCACATCTGCCCCGTTTCGTACTCTTTCTCGTGTTTTGTTTCACCTCCAGCCTGCTCATGCGTCGCCTGAGCCGTCCTGGTCCTTGATCAGGGTGCCTTCTTATCTTCTCAGTTTGTGGTAGCCCCTTCAGTTCAGGTTTCTGCTCTTTGGTACCGGTGGTAGATTTGTACTTATGCAGCCTTTCTCTGTCCTGGCGACGGTCGAGACGGCTGCTTTCCGGAGGGGTTCTTGGGTTATTGATGCTTGATTGGTTTGGCCGGGGGTGCGTCCTGTGTTGTTCGGCTGCATTTTTTGCCGTTACCTGCGTACCGTGTCTGGGGATGCGCTTTGGTTTGATCTGGTTCCCCCTCGTTCCCTGTTTTCAGGGCTTAGGTCTCCCAGGTCGTCCACAGAGTTTTTCAGTCTTCCAGCCTGCGGTCTGTCTTTGCGCCTGTGCTGTTCAGACATTTGCAGCTTTTGCTGCTGTGTTGTTGATGTCTAGGGCTCATTTTGGGCGCAGGGATTTGAGGGTCGCACAGGTTCTTGTCCGCCCATTCTTTATGCGTGTCTGCTCCTGTGCGTTCTTGTTGCCTTGGGTCGTAGGTTGCAACCTGTTGTCTCGGCTTCGCGTTGAGGAATTTGTGGCGGCTGCCTCCCGGGTTAACCCTTTTTTTTCCTTCTTTTTGGGTATGAAGCTCCAGGGAGCCATAGGGGCTCCCCACAGAAAACCAGTGTTGAATGTAATGAAACGCCATTTTCTGGGTGAGCCTCGGAGGCTCCCTGGCAACCCTCCCTCCCACTGGTCGGCGTTTTTATCGTGTTGGTTGAAGCTTAGCTTCCGAACTGAAGCTTCGCAGCCGGCGCGGTAGGTCTGGGGCTCCCCCCTCCCCCTCTCGGGGCGGGGAGGGCTGCGCGGACAATTGGCGCAGCAGTAAAGTGTGATGTTTGCTTGTTTGCGTGTTTCCTTGTGATTGTAGGGAGTTTCTACCTCTCTGTTCAGTTTTTTGTTTTAGTTTTTTACCATGTGGGGTTTGTTGTGTTATGCCTACCTTTCTGGGTGCCTGACCCCGGTCGATGGCAGATAAGGAAAACCCCAACCACAAAGAGATTTTCCGAGACCATTGCTCCCTGAAACCTCTCTGAAGGGGCCAGGTTCTGGCGCTGGTCCCTGGTAGGTCTGAACTCCTTAGCTAATGTCCCGGTCTAATATAACATACATTAGCCCGATAAGCTCCAGGGAGCCTCCGGGGCTTACCCAGGAAATGTCGTTTCATTACATTCAAGGCTAGGTTTTTTTGGTTATGCGCCTGTCAGTGACAAAGGCCAATTAGCCCTTAGCAACACAAGGGTTAAGTGTTAAACAAAATCATACAACCCTCTGCACAGTTAAGTGGTATAAGGACCTGCCCGAAATGCAATATGTGCTCTGGCTCTACAAGAATGTAAGAACTCTTGTGTATATAAAGAAAATAAAATAAAATAAAAAAGGGTCAACCAGAAGAGAAGTTTTATTACATTCAATACAAATTCTTTTAAATTTAATTATTATGAGGCATGTATGTGATAATGCATACATACATACTAGTCCTTAATACAGAAAGTCTAGCAAATTACAGATGACTGTGCTGAAGATATATTTTATTTACAGTGATGAAGACTGGCAAAGGGACTTCATGTTACTACCGTTTCCTGACCAAAGGGCAGCAGTGGATCTGGCTACAAACTCAGTATTACATCACGTACCACCAGTGGAACTCCAAGCCAGAATTTATTGTGTGCACCAATACTGTTGTGAGGTTATAAAATCATGTCAATTTCAGCTTTTTTTTTTAAGATATGCAGGAGTGTGTAATAATTCCTATATACCTTAATTATTCCTTCTTGTATTGAAATAAATGATAAGATCTATATTAAAATATTGTAACAATTAGAAATATATATCTAAATCTGAACAACAATGATTGTAGTGATTCAGCATACAGTATTTAAAAAAAACACTGCACCCTCAAAAATCCACACCTCTATATAATGGATCCCTCTAAATAATGAACCAAATTCCTTCACCAGATCTTCCCTCCAAATTTCAAATGTCAGAAAAATGCCTGGAAACAGTATTTCCTAACTTATTAATTGAAATAGGGTCCCAAGATGTGGCTTTATGTAATGTACCTTTCTTACCTACAAATTCTCCACTGTTTCATGTAACAAATGAATGTATTTTTATACAATTAATAATAATAATAATAATATTATTATTATTATTATTATACAAACTTGATCATAAAAAACCCAGCCTTTTTGGGTTTGAAAATAAAACATTTTCTGGGTGAGCCCAGGAGGCTCGCTGAAGCTATCTGAACTGATATGTGCTATATTAGTTTGGGATCATCAGTCACAAGAGCCCTTATGCCTACCGGGAACCACGAGCCAGAATCTGGCCCCCTCAGAGAGGCGCACGGAGCAATGGCCTATGAGCACTTTACATTTAAAGTATTGTATGTCATAATTGCCACTAACCAGGGAAGGACCCAGAAACTTAAGCGAATCAAAACAGACCACTGTCTGGTTAACCTTTTCAATCTACATCCAAAAGGATCAAAATAACCCCTAGAAAGAAACCCAACAAGCAACACTTCATGCAACTAGCACTTTCACTCGTTAGCGCTACACCCCTTGCCCCCTATGAGGGTGAGCTGGCAGCCCACCATTTCATTTCTGGAATGAGAAAAACTGCTGACTGGATGGAGGGAGTCAGAGAGCCTCGGGGCCTCACCCAGAAAATGACTTTTCATTATATTCAATGCTGGTTTTCTGTGGGAAGCCCTGTCGGCTCCCTGAAGCTAACTACCCAAAGATAAGTAAAAGGAGGGACTCACCTGGAAGGTGGCAGCACTGCAGGTCTCAAGAAGAGGAAGAGACAGACAGCTGTGACAGGGTCCTCAAAGCCACACACGGCAGGGAAGGAGCCGGAACATTCACGAGATACCTGGCGGCCAAGACTCTGTTCGACCTTCAAAACCCCCATGCCCAAATATCTGCCTAAAACATGTTGCCAGAAACCGCCGCAAGAGCAGCAGCTGTTGTTGTTTTAGATTCAGCTACTCGGAACAAAAGTTCCAAATGGCATGGCTATGGTAAGCCCATAGTGGATTTACCTGGCACAGGAGTGTGACTGTGATGAGAACAACATACTTCCTAACATCATGGGCATGAGGGTAGACTGCAGGCTGGCTAGACTTCATGACACTGTGGACAACCTAAGACACACGAGCCCTGGAATAGGGAACCAAGGAAACCGGATCCACCCAGAGAGCGTCCACCATCACAGAACCATCACAAAGCTGCCTCCGGACAAAGGTGCCACCAGCTGTTTCATTCTTCGCCAGAAAAGAAGGCGGCTGCAAATGAACAAAACGACCATATGGACCAAACTAACAGAACCCCTCGGCATCAAAGGAGAGCATGAAACGCCCCAACCTGACCCCCAGAGGCCAAGACCAACTAAAACAAGGCCTCCAAAAACAATCCCGAACCGAAGGGGCCACAACAAAGTGAGAAGAAGAAAGAAAAGAAAGAACACGGTCCAAAGACCAAGAAGGCTCAGGTGGTGCATGAGCATGCCGCAGGTGAAAAAACACACGCCAAAGCTAGCAGAACGGAGCAGATGTAACATCCAGCCTGATATGAATCCAGTCAAGCCAGAACCCAGATCAACAGCTGGACTGGGGGAAAGAGGTACAAGAACTCTCACCTCGACCAGTCCTCCCAAAAAGAGTCCACCGCGTGGGCTCCGCAGTTGGGGAAAGGCACCATGTACAATGGGAAACGCTGAAAACACTCTTGACATGAAGTGGTCCACCTCCGAGCGCCCGTACCTTCGACTAAATGAAAGGAAGGAGGCGGCATCGACCGCCTGTTCCATAGTATAATAAAAATGAGCTCCACAGCTAAAATGGCTGGAATGCGGACAGGATACTAAGATCCATAAGCAAGAAACTGGACAAGCATACAGGGCAAGGTCGCTTGACACAAAATCGATGCCCATAATAAAATAATGAAAACAAGCCAATGATCACAGTCTGTGAACACAAGACTGAGGTACTATTATACAGAAGTACCATAGTCTCGTGCACAAGACAATACTGCCCCGGGAACACAAGACCAGGAGACGTGACCACCATCCACAATTTCTTTGGGAATGGACAGGGTGGAAAAAGATGAATGAATCAATACGATTGGTACATCCAGAATGGGAAACAGGTGGAAACTGAGTACCCAAAGGAGCCACCGAGTCATTAAAAAGAACTTGTCCAGAGGTAGAGTACTAAGGAAAGGGAATACAGAAGGCAGTGATGAGGTGGAGACTGCAAACATAAAGATGCAGAAGCTGAAGAAGATCAGGAATGTGTTCACCATTAGAATGGCGGGTGAGAGGCAGGGATGCCAGATTGGGCCACTTGTAGCCCAATTCGGTTACCAATTAGGATAATTGCATTCAATTAAAAAACCATCTATGTACGTCACTACTTACTATTTTTTTGGCTACAGTTAAAATAAGCTTTGCTGTTTATTCTAAAAAGCGAATTAATCGGAAAAAAATATTTGGCTACTTTTATTGTAAAGTTTGTAACAATTAGTTCTTCAGCTCGCGACTGTCGGCAACTCAAATCTGGCATCCCTGGTGAGAGGTGGGCCCAAAGAGCCAAAGCGCAACCCCCGCAAGCATAACTAGAAGAATACAATGAGGCGAGTACAAACTTACCAAAACTACTGACAACACTTCGGCAGTAATGAGGGAAGCACACACCAATTCACAAACCTCTTCACCCATTTCATAGCAGACATAACCCACACTTGAGACATGTTACACATAACCCACACCTGAGACATGTCACACATAGGTGAACGACTGAGTTACCGGTCAGAACAATGGCGCATTAACTAAATGAAAAACACCCTAAAAAGCAGGAAAAGAATGATAAACTTTCAACTGTTGTATGCAGAGTGGATGACAACAAACCACAGCTGTGGAATAGTGCACCGAAACCAGTGCGCTGCCCTGGCGGCCAATTGCGGCAACACAAAACATCACACTCAGACACCGAAGGTTCACATACACACTCAGACACCCAAGGGTCACAAACTGTATAACAAAATACTTGCTAAAATCTAAACAACGAAATTGCTGATCGGAGAGGAAGGAAGAGCAGGGGTACCAAAAGCACTGGAACATAACGTGCAATAAATGTATGATGAACCACACGAAAAAGTCTGTTATAAACATTTTTCTGTGGAGAGCCCCTACGACTCCCTGGAGCTTATTGGGCTAATGTATGTTATATTAGACCGGGACATTAACTATGGAGTGCAGACCTACCAGGGACCAGTGCCAGAACCTGGCCCCTTCAGAGAGGTTTCAGGGAGTAATGGCCCTGGAAAACCCCCCTTGTGGTTGGGGTTTTCCTTATCTGCCATTGACCGGGATTAGGCACCCAGAAAGATAGGCATAACAAAACAAACCCCACATGGTAAAAAACTAAAACAAAAAAATGAACAGAGAGGTAGAAACTCCCTTCAATCCCAAGGAAACAAGCAAACATCACACTTTACTGCTGCACCGCTTGTCCGCGCAACCTTCCCTGAGAGGGAAAGGGGAGGGCCCCCGGACCTCACTGCACCGGCTGCCTAACACTCCAGTTCGTAAGCTAATGTCAACCGGGACAGACACTTCTCTGGCCTCAGTTTCCTAGGCGGTGTTTGCCTTAGTGGCACTCGCTGCCGTGTTTTGTGTTGTGCATTGGCCAGGTGTTCCTCATCAGTATTGGGGCTGCATGTGCTTAGAGGCTTCCTTCCCTAAGTGCCCTGTGAGTACTGCCCCTGCGTGACAGGGCTATCTTCCCTGGGGTGTTCGGGAACCATTTCCGTAGAAGTTCTTGCTGCTCGGCATTTGCCTCACTCTTGGGGCCAGCTGGGGCTTGGGGCCCTTGTTTGGCCTTGGGTAGGGACTGGTACTGTGCTGGTTAGGGCGTCAAGATGTTGTGTGACCTGCTACCTACGTGGCTACTGGTTCCTATTGCCTCTGGGGACGGTGTACTTTTGCGGGGGTTTTCTTTTGTTTTTCTTTTCTTTGCCTGGTTGGGGTCTGCCTAGTGTGGCTATAGTTCCACTGGTAGTGTTTGGTGGCCCTCTGCTAGGCCCCTGTGATTGTACACGTCTCAGAGTTTTTCGGTGTTGTCATCTACCCCTTGTTAGTTTTGGGTTAGAAGCCAGTTAGAAACACCTTGTCTGGGCTTCCTATAACAGTCAGCCTACGGGCCCTGGAAAACCCTGTTGAGGCTCGGTGGACCACTGGATGTATCTTCCGGGTTCCATCCCGTCTTCTGTGGGTTCGTTGGTTGCTGTGCCCTTGTCTCTCAGGGTGACAGTCACCACTTTTACCACCGTCATGCTGCCTGATGGGTCACTGACACCTTGACCCGGAGTCTTACGAGATGTTTTCACTGCTTGTTCTCCAGTACTCTCCTGATGTCCTTACTGTTCAGAGTACCAGCAGCATCCATGTTGCAAGCTTGGTTTAGGTTGCTGCAACCCACTAGGTTGGTTTCCCACCTGGATGCCCCGGGGCCGCCCCATTTTGATTAGGTGCTTTTCGCCCCTTTTCTCTCCTTGTTCCCGGCTCCTGACCGTTTGCGGGTTTCTGGGTCAGGGCGAGGTTTAGTTGGTGCCAAGACTCGGGCGGCTTCGGGGACTGCCCCGTTTGGATTGGGACGGAGGTTTTCGAGCCTGATCCTCCTGC